GAAGAACTGATGAAGGCACGGTTTGATCTTCGGCTGACCAATCAGCAGAAAGGGGTGTTTAATTCCCGCCCACGTGTAGAAATCGAATATTCAAGCTGTTTATTAATTTTTCTACCCCTGAACGAAATATTTAAGCTGAATTCTCGTTTTTTGGAAAAAAACGGGAAAAAAAACGAAAAAGGAGTCGTTTTCAAATTTTTCTACTTTCAATATTAAATAAAAAAAAATGAATGATCGAATGATACACGGATTGGGTCATTCCGTGTCAACTCAAATTTTAGATTTTGCTAATATTTATTCTGAAGAAAGATAAACATCTATAGTGACCAACATTTGGTTTTCAAACACTTAAAATGGGTATTATACATAAGTCTGAATATGGGGCCTCATTGAGGTACCCATATCTCTGGGACTGAATGATACAGAACCTTGAAAATAAAGATTCTAAAAGAAAAGTTTATTAAGAACTAGAATCTAAAATTACATTTTGATATCTTTAAGACTTCTTGAGTTATAGGCACACAAACTTTGGAAAAAGAATACTTATGACACTCAGACAGGTATGTTCAATGCAGTTGTTTTGACAGAAGGAAACGAGACACAATTCTAGTTTCTACATTATTTGTTCTTCATACATTCCTCTTTAAAATAAAATAATTATCATATTTTTGCAAATTGACCCACATTTGGTTTTTGAGCACTGAAAATGTGTACAATTCATTGATTTTCTCCTGGAGCCATATTGAAATTTCATTATCTCTGGAACTGAACCTTATAGGGCCTTAAAAATTAAGATGCCAAAAGAGACATTTGTTAAGACCCAATATCTAAAAGGGCATTAAGATCTCTTTAATACTTTTTGAGTTACAGTCCTGCAAACTAGGGCTGGTCCGAATACCATTTTTTGAGCGTCGAAGCTTCAGTAGTAATCAACACCGAATATTCGAAGCTTCGGAGGGAGGGGGCTGAACTTATTCTTCTCTCTAATAAAGACAGGAATCTCTGTGTGTCTGTCTGTCTGTCGAGAACCATTAATCCAATCGACTTCACGCATGGCAGGTGTGTTGCTGCGGACCCAATGGAGTGCAGTGTCACATTTTGGCGCAATATGGACACGCGACACTTTCAGAATTAATAAACTTTTAATAAAATACAGAACAGCGCGAGCTGGAAGCGGCGCACCTCACGCGGGCAGGGCTTATATGCTCCGAGAATGGACACTGCACTAGTGATACAAAACACAGGTCTGTTAAGAGCAATACTTTTAATAAGGTAGTAGGGCTGTCCCGATATTAGATTTTTCACACCACGGTTATTGTGTCCAAAAGAATTCACAATGTCGATATATCGCGATATCTATAGAAACCTTAGGGAATCAGCCAAATTAATTTTTACTTTGTTTATTTAGTTTTTCTTTTTACCCAATGAACATAAGGATACTGATAAACACAGGGCACATGCATTTTCACTTCTTCTTCTTCAGGTCACAGCTGACCTGAGACTCTGGCTTTCTCGGTCTTCTTTGAAGCTCCCTATGAAATAACAAGAGAGAAAATACTGTCAAGTTCAACAGTATAATGAATAAATATTAACATCAAATCTGATACTGTAACCTGTTAATTTGCGTACCCGTATTTTAATCTCTTTAACCTATAGTTGCGCAGCCGCCAATGAAGTCATGCAGTTAACGCGCTTCTAATTCACTATTAATGTGCACCCAGAACGACCGCAGATGAGGCATTAAGTGCATGGCACTGCAACCAACTTTACATTTTACAGAGTTTAATGTGGTCGCTCAGTTTTTCTAGATCAGTTTTAATCTAATAGATTTGAACAAAGAAATCAATTGCTACACAAAGGCAGTATTGGCCATGACTTGATTGCAAATACAAATACAAAAATTAGACGAGTAAAGAAAACGCGGTACTCATTAAAAGAATCACCCTTTTATTTAAATAAAACAGGAAACCGCTGTTAATAGGTTAATGTAACATTTCCCATTCAATGACTAGTAAAATAATGGCAACTTACTGTCTGGATAATATTGAACGTATTCGCAAGTATTTTCCAATCAAATTACGTGCACGTTTTTATCAAGTGTAAAATTACTGATTAACATGGCGGATAAAAGCAGCTCGTGTTTTTACACTAACAATATACTATAGGCGTAGCTACTACTTACAGAACTCAGGTGATTTTTCAAACTTGATGTGCTGTTGTGGTAGGCCAGTTTCAAATCGCATATTTGGCACACTGCCTTTGTCTTGTCCTCACTCAATGTAAAGTACTCCCACACAGCTGAGGTCTTCGGCATTTTTGTCTTCTCTTCCAGATGAACTGAATCATGACGTTCACTCATGGGCGATTCATATTCAAGCACGAATGAGAACCGTTTCGCGGGGGATGCCAGGTGTTCGAGAGAAGAAAAAAAATGAATATTCGAATCTCAAAATTGAAAATCGCATGGCAACCCACCGAACGAATATTCAAATAATCTAATATTCTGGTCCAGCCCTACTGCAAACTTTGGAGAAAAATCTTGAAAAGTGCTCTTTCCCCATTTTTGAATGGTCACCACTGGCACATAATGCAACAAAGATTGCTAAATTCAACAGATTTTACTAATAGACCTACCAATCTCTGTGTAAAAATAACATTATGATGCTGCCATCTTTCTTAATTCATTTTTACCCCCCTGCAATTTGGCTCTGAATCTCAGGTGAAAATTGCCATTCTGACCCCCCTCTACAAAATAGTGGATTACTTAGTAAATATTCATCCATGGCATTTAATATTTTGGCTTTCATCACTATACATGTTTATCTTTCTTCAGAATAAATATTAGAAAAATCAAAGATTTTAGCCGGGGACCTCTGGTTAAGTTGACACGGAATGAGCCATCAATTTTAGAGACCTTTTTAAAGGAACACGGGCTGTGAAACTCAGCGTTGGGTATCTTGGAGAGGCTGCTGTCCCCTGTAGGTGAGATTGGGATGAGTCGGGGTCTTTGGGATGTCGACGTCGGGTTGTGAATGATGCTCTGGGGTGTTCGGGGTAAAACCTCAGGCGTGCGGATTGGATCTGGGACGGGAATGGCAGTAGCTGATGTGAGACTTGAACGTGTTCTTTCCAGTATAGTACGAACAGTCTACATATGCCAAATAACCACATAGAAAAGAAGAGAATGTTTTAAAAATATTGTAATAGTATCATATATGTAATCATAGATGGTTAAATTAAATAAAAAATGTTAAAAAAAATTTGAAAAATTGCAGTCTTAGCAATCTCAACTAATTAAAGCATTTAAACAAAAATGTTAATTTTATATTAAATGATAAAATTCACAAACAAAATCCTATAAACAGAAAGACTTTACATATAACAATTGAGCAGCAAATCAAAGCATATAAGAATGAATTCTGAAGCATCAAAACTGGAGTAATACAGAAAAAAAATTCAGCTTTGCATCTCAGGAAATAATTACAACAGAAACTATTTCACAATATTACTGTTTTTATCTGTATTTTTGATCAAATAAATGCAGTCTTGGTAAGCATGAGAGTCTTCTTTAAGAATCATTCAAAAAAAATATTTTTCATTCCAAACTTTTGACCCATTGTGCATACATAATATTCTCTCTAACAATGCAAACAAAACCCAAATCAAGACAGATAGCTACACAAACCTTAGTTTTAGGGCGATCTGCATGCAATCCTTTCTTGAAATCTAAACGAGTAAGTCCATGTCTAGCATTTCTGGCAATCGGAGGCCGACCTCTGCGTCGTTTTACTTTAGGACTGTGAGGATATGAAAAGTACGAAAGTCAGTTTATCAACTGAACATAATCAACAGGTCTAAGGCTGATGTTACAAGGGGCAACTTTGGGCAATGTTGCTGTCAACGGGCAACCAGGTGAGACACAGGGTCCACAACCAATTTAATGTATCCAGATAGAAATTTGTCACCCATTGTCAATGGGAAAGTGCCCAAGCAACATTGTTCAAAAAAAAAGTTGCATGGGAAAATTGCTCAAAAAGTTGCCCTGTGTGTCATCAGCCTAAGGACCGTTATTATCAAATTAATTTAAATGTTCATTAAAAAAAAAAGAGACTTAAAATTGGTTTCAAAAGTGTGAGACCACTTGTAAATCTGCTTCTATTTAGCACTTTTTTAGTTTAATAAAACATTTAACTGCAAATATTCAGCGTAACAGTTTGAGTGAAACAAAAATTTTTATGTATTTCTGAATGTCTTCATATTTGGATCGTCTTCTTTTGGATTAACGAAAAAGCACTCCTGAAAGTTACATGAATAAAACTTGATAATCATATTCTATAGCATGATTTGAGAAGCTTCAAATGGAAGCAAGAAAATCATATCTGTACAACTCTATACAAATGAATTTTTAATATTTATTATTTATATATTAAATAATTTAAACGCTTTTTTTATAGTATTTTACTAAAAAATACATTTTATTTTTAATTTATTAAAAATAATTATTAAACACAGAAGCTCAAATGTGTGATCTGCTGGGTTTACCGTATTTGGTGTGAAATGAATCATGTTGTGTGAACTTTACATACTACTATATTGTGACATAATATTGTTATGCCTCTAACACAAACTATAATATATCCCACTAAATGCAAACAAAAATCAGGTATAAGCACATACACGTCATTACTGGTTTTTCTAGTGATCCATTCGCTGCTCTTGACACCTTCACCACCATCATCTTCATCCTCCTCCATTGGCTTCAGCCAATCAGGTGGCGACTCAACCGTCACCTTTCCAGGCGTACTGTTCTCCACTGCATTATCCTCAGTGACAGTAACAACATCTGATCCAACCAGCACAGTCTCTTCCGGTTTCATCGTCTCCGGTTCAGCTGACGCCCTGTTCAGCTCATCCGTCATGTCTGATCCCGTTCTGTGGATTCTCCTGTATTACTAGTGAGACGAATGGTTTTGAGTCATGCCAGGAGTCGTCTGGACGTTGAACCGCTGGCTCACATTTTTAAACAAGAAAAATGACTTTGCTGTCCATAGAAGTTGGAAGTAGAAATTTCATCTCAAAACGTTACTTACGAAAAGCTTGGGTTGCATAAAATGTAAATGTTTCAACCATGTCTTTAGTGGTTATAAATTATTATATCATACCTGTAAAGAGAATGCAGATATTAGAGGGAAGAACTAAATTAAACACCAAATTATAGATGCAATAAAATTATTATTTCAGCAGAGTCTGTGGTCATTTTTCTGGTTGATGTATTTCTGAACAGAAAAAGCAAAGTTGGCACACCACAGCTCCAAAAGTAGAAAAATATTCATGTTCTCAGCACAGGTGACGTTTCGAGCCTACAAGCTCTTCATCAGAGGCTCGAAACGTCACCTGTGGTGAGAACATAAATAAATATGTTTCTACTTTTGGAGCGGTGATGTGCCAACTTTGCTTTATCTGTTTGCCATTGCTTGTAGTTGAGCACCATTTGAGCATTTGGCATTTGGCCTGCTGGATGTCCGCACTTTGATTGTAATCTTAATGTATTTCTAAAGACATACTGAATTTCTATCAACACACTTTGTATTGAGATGAATTGCAAACCAATCACACACACATATATCATCACTAATGATTTAAGAATTTGCCAGAGAGAATTTTTTGCTTTTTTACATGTTCACGTACTTGTATCACAATCTGCATACCACTATTTTAATAAAACATTTAAGCAACAGCATCTAAGAAAGTCTATTAAATTAGGCTACTGCAAAGACTCAAGCTAGCAGAAACACGTTAGACTAGCGTGAAGGAGAATATTTATAGAACGGGGCAGAAACGAGCGGTTGCCATGGTGACAGAATTGCAGCGAGCCCAGCAGCGACGACAGGGAGGTCGATACAAATGGGCTGACAACATTCGATATCTGCAATGCAGCGCAATTACTATGGCAAAGAAATGCACTACAGTGCAGCAAGCATCCAGCGCTTGTTAAAGTTTGTTTAATGGAAAATACTTGATTTCCTGAAACCCTACTTATATGTAATTAAAACAAAGCAGACCAACTGTTTAAGACAACTTCTGTTCAAGAAAACTGCTGAAAGGTTGACCAAGGTAATAAGCACTTTGACAATTAGAAGAACAATACAAACCCAACAAAACAGATGCAATCAACATCTCAGCAATAATAAAATCCCGCTGTGGGTTTCAGCTCAAATCTGGGTCACAGGGTGATTTGTATATTGTAAAAATTATGATTTCAGTATGACCACCTCTTGATAAGGTAAGCAAGTCAGTAAGCAACTCACTGAATCGGTTCAGTAACATTACAATCTCAAATGCTGAACTAGCAATTTTCAGTCATCTCTCATTTAGCCAAAAAGCAACAAATACAGCAGCTCATTATCAACACAATTTTAGTTTCTTCATCATTTTAACTAACTACTAAGAAGAAAATATACTGAACTAGCAATTTTCAGTCATCTCTAATATAACTCAAATTAACAAATGCTGCGGCTCATTGTCGAGACAACTTTAGTTTCTTCATCTTTTCTAACTACTAAGAAAGAAAGTATACTAAACTAGTAATTTTCTGTCATCTCTCACACATAGTCAAAAGGTAACAAATACAGTAGTATAAAATGTATGATCATTTTCCAAAGAAAATATGCAACCGTGGTGGAACAGATTTTTCCAAGTTTCCAAATGTTTCGTTAGTAATGATCAAACTGTAAACTCTTATGGATAAGCTCATTCAAAGTAGTCACAATTAATGTCTGTAAACACTTGCAAACAGCACATATTCCTACAGATATTGTTGCAAAATATAGGTTTGACTTAGCTGCTATACAAACACAGAAATGTGTACCACAATAAACCTAAAAAGCAAGCACATTTATTTAATCAATCTATTCTAAAATCAGTAGAAACTTGTCTTAATTACACTCAAGAGGACATACTTAAACACTTAAATGTTTAAAAGGATTATTAAAAAAATCCCAAAAAACGTAGTTTAAACAATACGTTGAACCGTTTTCCTTTTGATGTGATCACAGATTGTACAAAAATGTGATGCAACAGAAGCAAACACTTTCTCGTTTGCATTTTGATTATGCAATCATCAGATCAGTGTTTATGATCATTTTGGAATATGTGTTGTTGCAATAAGCATTTTAGTATGCCCCCAAGAACAGTGACGTTTCATACACATAAGAAGGTAACATATTCTGCATTGTGTATTATATTTAAAGGGGTCATATGATGCGATTTCAAGTTTTCCTTTCTCTTTGGAGTGTTACAAGGTGATTGTGCATAGATAAGATCCCTGAAGTTGCAAAGACTAAAGTCTCAAAACCAAAGAGATATTCTTTATCAAAGTTAAGACTCTGCCACGCCCCCCTAAAACGGCTCGTCTAAAACACCCCCACATATCTACCTCACTATGTGGGAATATTAGCATAATGCCGCCCAAATGTGCACGCAAAGAAAGAAGGCGTGGTTTCAGTAACCGCAGTTAGTGTTGAAGCAGCATGTCAGGGAGACACTGTGTGTTTCTAGGCGAAAGCAAAAGCACTTTATTTGGTCTTCCGAAAGTAGATGCATTTAGGAATCTTTAAGATTACTTACAACAGAACAGCAATGCATTTTATGGACGACCGTTTCGTGAACCTAGGAGAGGAGGTCATTCTGACTTTGCTATGACAATCTGGCGCTTCTGAATCAGCTACTGTAAGTATGTTTTGTTATTAGTTTAAGTATTTGCTATTGACTGTTCAAATGCGGAGTTTTGCGCATCGTGCGCGTGCACGTGTGAGAGTGAGAGTGAGAGAGAGAGAGAGAGAGACAACATTTGAAGAGAAACACATCTTACATCATAAAGCAGTTGATGTCTGGTTTGCGACAAACACAATAAACACGTGCATTGCTCCGGTTCAGACTCATCTCCGGTCCAGGAGGCTGCTCCAAATCTGACACTTCACTGTCCTATAACATAAGAGAAGAAACTGAATGTGCATTTAATTTGACATAATCTGTATGTTCTGTAGCTACTTCAATCCAGAAATGTACATATCAACAACTTTCCTGTTATACAGTCTACCTGTGCATTTTATATTTTGCAGAATATCAATGTATATACTGTATAAACAGTTTATTATGCTGCTATATGCTACATTTTATGTATTCTCTGATACTTTGTGATGCCAAACCTCCATTTGAACGATGGCACATTTGTGTAACAGCTATTCTGAGCTGTCATGGCCATTTGTATTATACATTCTCTCTCTATAACTTATATATATATATATATAATTTTAATTTTTTTACAAAAAAGTACCAAAAAAGTTCACACACCTTCAATCAGTACAGTGATATACCTGTACCACTGTACCACCCAGTTCTTATTATAATGACAAAACAACCAGAATTGCTCAAATATTTCACGTACCATTACAGGGTTGTCCGGTTAATGTCCAAAAGAAAGGAATGCCACCACAGTCCTTCAGAACATCTGAAGCACAAAAGCTAATAGGCTGTCATAACCATGGTGAGCTAAACAGGTGTGCAGTGAATTGATTTAATATTTCACTCCTTTTGTTTACAAAGCGGAACACTGCACAACAACATGTACTTCCGCTTCCACTGCTACGATTCTTCTTCTACGGTTTAATGACAAATGATCCGCTGCCACCTACTGGACGTGTGTGTAATTGACGCGCGCCGACAGACAGGAGACAGCCGTACAGTAGTTTACTAAAGCTAAAACCATAAAATGCATTTTCGTTACTTCAAATAAAATAAATGTTAATTAAATAATATATATATATATTAAAAAACCTTACCCTTAATTTATTTCAGCTAGTTTCCAAGTTATTTTTCATAGATATAGACATGTACAAAAAAAAACCGTACAAAAATTACAAAAACACACAGCAAAATTACTAAAATTATAACTAAACCTAAATTAAAAAAGGAAAATATTAATACAAAAATATTAATGAAAACTATAATAGTATCTTAATGATATAAAATAAACTTTGGTAGCTGCAGAAAGAGACCAAACATTTCCTTTTAATTTTATGCAGTAAAACAAACAAATAAATACATATTTTAACACAAATAAAATACATGTATTTGGTATTGAGTTAATGTTTTAAGCGATTTGATTGTTGAAAAGTTTATTCAGATTTGTACTATTAATCAGATGAGAGTATTATATAAAATATAAATATAAAATATTATATACATTTTTATTTAACAAAAACTACTTAAAATGTACTTGTGTGTGTGTGTGTGTGTATGTGTGTGTATGTGTGTGTGTGTATGTATGTGTGTGTGTGTGTGTGCGCATTTTTGTGACAAATGAGGACATAAATTTGTATAATGACAAAGGTATGACATAGGTATTACAAGGAGAAGGTGACTTTTCAGGACATTACCCCATGTCCCCACTTTTCAAAACGCTTATAAATCACACAGAATGGAGTGTATTGAAAATCTGAAATAGCACAAAGTTTCCTGTGAGGGGTAGGTTTAGGGGTAGGGTTGGTGTAGGGCAATAGAATATACGGTCTGTACAGTATAAAAACCATTACGCCTATGGAGAGTCCCCACTTTTCACAAAAACAAACCAGAGTGTGTGTGTGTGTGTGTGTGTATGTGTCAAGTCAAGTCAGTGTTCCCGGTTCCGGTTGACCTAATTAATGCATGTGTGTATGTATGTGTGTGTGTGTGTGTGTGTGTGTGTGTGTGAGTGTGTATATATAGCCTACGAGACTTGTCATTTGCACTTACATATTGTTGCTCTTTTGTTAGTTTTGATTGCTTCTATTGTCCTCATTTGTCGCTTTGGATAAAAGCTTCTGCTAAATATCTAAATGTAAATGTTAATGTAAATTATTTCATTATGTAACTAACGCCAATTCAGAGAGAATTCTGAGAGATAGCCAGAAAGAAATGAGAGTAAAATATAGTCAGTAATACAAACAAATAATTATTAAATTATGAATAACAATTAATCCTGATAATAGCGTCAGTCATTAGTCGGTATGGATAAATGCGGCAGATAAACCAGAATTTCATAAATTAATTTCATGACTTTTTTTTTTTCTTTTTTAGGAGTACTGCTGGAAAATCATGTGATAAACCACAACGAAATAAAATAAATAGTTGCTAAAGTTGTCGATTCCCTGCAGTGCAGGAAGGATGTCGTGCACACACACACACACACACACACACACACGCTCGAGATCTCCACGCGCTATTCAGAGCAGACGCAGCTCGCGCCGCAGACCAACACCGCGCATTACTTCATTCGGAATTAAAGTGAATTAAAACGTCCTCGGT